TTAATCTAATTCTATAAATGAAAAGGAAATTCGATGTTACATAACTCTTCTGTTTCATAGCAATTTGACCATTTTCAAGCATTTGCTCAGATATTACGACGAGGTTTACTACAAATATATATATGTGTTGCTAATACTACGCAGAATGAGAATCTTCCTCTCCTTCATGATCCTCTCCTTCTGAGTTCTCCAAGCTTAGAATGGCTTCTACCAGTGTAGAGATTCGGCCAGCGGATGTCCGGAGTCGAAGTAAGAGACGTCGTCCATTGTCGGATTATTCCAGTCGATGCCGAACCCATTATCGCCATTGTTGTCTTCATCTTGTTCGCCGAATTTGATCCACTCCCCTGTTATATCAAGACCATCGAAACTTTCATCCTGGGCATCGGTTCCAAGGCCCCAGTCCTCGAACAAACTGCGGTTTCCCGACAAATATTCGTCGATGCTCATGAGATCCGGATCCAATTGGTTGAATCCTTCAGGAAATTGCAGAGGAGGAAGTTTGTCTCTGTCTTGGAGATCGCAGAGCCCTTCGAACTGCGCAGACTTTGCGTTGCTGTCTTTGTCAAGATTATGTCCGCAAGAAACGATCTGTTCCTCTCTCTTCCGCTGAATTATACCCACACAGTCCTTCAGATCGCTTAGTTTCTCGATTTGAATTCTGAGTTCGTCAGGATCATCGCAGTTCTCCGACAAAAACCCAGACCCAGGACTGTTCTTGAGATCGCTTATTAGTTTCTCGATGAGGATTCCGAGTTCGTCATCGCAGTTCTCCGACAAAAACCCAGACCCAAGATTCTTGTCCGGCAAGAAATTATGCGCTGTCGGAATACGGCCGCTGAGGAAGGCGTCGACGACGGCGTCAGTGTAGGAGTGACCGAAGGGACCAGAGTAGACGGCGTTGGGGTTTCCGGAAGGAGGAGTCGCTAAAACCGCGATTTGAGCACCGGAGATGGCGGAGAGTTCGGCGGCTTTCTTGAAAAGCCCTAGACGGCGTTTGCTGAACGTTACCGATCTCTGCGACTTCGTTTCTCGCTTAGCCATTGCAATCTTTCTCTTCGTTCCCATGGTTCTCGACGGAGATGAAGGTTACAGAGAGACAGAGTACGTCTGCGTAGAGTGAGAGAAGTGAGAGAGAGTGAATCTAAGTTAAGATCGTCTGATACTTATAAGGTAAGGGGCCGTCATTCCGTACACGGCCCCACCTTCATGGGACCCACTTTCTTAGTATATTTTTAAAAAAATTTAATACGATTTTAAATAAAATATGAATAAATTTATAGATTAAAAAGATTAAATTTTGTTAAATTATAATAATCTTTTGTATTGTAGTAGTTATCATTTTGAGTTCGTAATTTTTAATCACTTAATATTTTAAAAAGGGGATAGACTCAGAAAATACCTCCTAATTTTTATTTTCTTAAAAAAACCATATACTTTCCATTAATTATTTTAAACCAATAAATATATTTGTTAATTAAAAAGACATTTTCAAGTGTCTATTATTTAAAATGTACATGGCATTACAACTTTGGAAAATAAAAAATTTTAAATCAATCATTATCTTAAAAAAGAAAAAATATCCATATTTTACATTATTATATAAACAAAAAATATTATAAAATATTATTTTACATGCACTTCATCTTAAACAAAACGTATTATCGAATTTTATCTTTTCTAATTTATTTTATGGATGAATCTCAATATATATTAACTTAAGACTGCAAGATGAAATAAATCTATAATTTTAATTTTTTTTTAAATTTGTCCATTTTGCAACATTATTTTTTTGCTGCTTTGAATTTTAAATGTTCTTTTGTAGATGCAAAAATATATATAATGTATCTTTATTTTTTGAAATCTTATCATCAATGTCTTGTTTTTTAACACACTAAATTATCAGAATTTGATATATAGTTTTATTTTAGTATTTTTTTATGTGTGATTTAAATGATCAAATGTATAAATATATTTTAAAATTATGTACAACTACATAATTATCTAAAGGATCTAGATATCATTTTATTTATTTTAAGATAATTGCATTGTTTTATTTAAAAATTTTAATTTTAAAATTTTATTTTTATATACTACTTCATCTTAAACCAAAATAAACTTAAAGATTGTTTTTTTAATTAAAATACTTATTTGATGGTTTTAAATAATTAATTGAAAATAGATGGTTTTTTAAAGAAATTTTAAAATTATAATTTTTTTTAGTTTATCCCTTTGAAAAAATAAACAAACTAGTATTAAAAAGTATTTTTTTTTCAATCAAATGTTTTATAACAATAAACTTGATTGTATTTTGAACATGATCTCTCAAATCTGTGAGACGGATCTCGGGCATATCTTAATTAATTTCGTTTTCTTAGATTAATTAAATGCGTAATGATTATAATTAACTACAAAAAAAAATACGGAGTCGAGAAAAATAACAAATATCAGGGGTTAAGATATTTTCCTTTTTAGCTACACCCTATGGTAAATATGGGGTGTTTCCGTAAATACATTCAATTACATGTCCACTTTCATACGGCGACACGAATAAAACTCGTCGATCGATCCGTTCCTCCGCCGTCCGTACAGCCTAGTCTCCGCCGTGTTCTTCTCCTTCATCCACTTCCTTAACGTCGTTTTCCAATCGGATCGTCTCCCGGGAAGTGGTTCATCGGAGGTTTTCCGGCAACCGAAATCGGTTTTCCGGGAGAGGATGATGGGATTTTCCAATGGCTGAGGCGGTGGGGCCCATAATTTGGATCGCTCCGTTCCTCTGCCGTCCGCGCAGCCTAGTCTCCGCCGTGTTCTTCTCCATCATCCACTTCCTTAGCGTCGTTTTTCAATCGGATCGTCTCACCGGGAAATGGTTCTCAAGAACTTTTGTGTTTTCTTCAACTATATAAGCGGTCCACAGAAGCCATATATTTCACCAACATATTCACAACAAAAATACAAAACAATCACATTCATAAACCCCCGAGTCATGGCCAGCCGTTCTTGCTCGTTCTTTTTGACTTTGATACTTCTCGTCTCAGGTACTTTTTATCAACAACCATTTTTTCATCGGAAAGTGAAGCTCAACAATAAAGATGTACAAAAGAGTTGGACCCAATAACGCAATGTGTACTGTCAAACTGTAGGGTCAAATGTTTGAACCAAATGAATTGATTCAGAAGCTGCTACGAGAATTTTTTTGGTTTCGGAATTTATGTTTGCAACTGCGCTTATAATTGTGGTTTTATATGGCTACATTACGAAACTATTTATGAAATAAAACGATATCGTATTTATTGGGACTAGAACATCTTGTGTTCTCTCTAAAGCTTCAAACACAACACTTTATAGATCTGTTTTCGTTTGCGTGGGAGATCACTTACATTTATTTTCGTTGTAAATCGAAGAAGCCCTTTTGACTCTATAAATAGAGGCTAGATTATAAGTTCTAGGGTTCAAAAGGTGAGAAACCCATCAAGAAAATATATTATTGGAAAATTTTAAAAAATTAGTAAAAAAGAATGGGATAAAAACAAAATATATGGGTGAAATGGGTTACTCGAAGATTTTAAACTAGATTTATAAGAGTCCAGATACAAAGCCCATATATGCAGGGCCCATTGGCCCATATAGAAACTGAGAGCTCCTCCACATATCTTATCTCAGCAGCCACATGAAATCTCAAAATCTACGACATGATTCGTCCACATATTTCCCCGTCCCCAAAACATGCACGTCATATGTATTATAGACAACGCTTTCACTCACAGAAAATTGACAAATTTGCCTTTTTTTTAACCGATTTTATTTGTGGCGCTAAATAACTTAGAGCCTTACAACTTCAAAAAAAAAAAAAAGAGAGAGAAAAAAATACACACAAATACAAAAAAAAAATAGAGAAGAAGAAACTCTCTACCTCCTCCGATGGCCGCCGCCGGAGGATCATGGTTCGCCGCCGTAAATCACCGTACGAATCCTCACGGATTCGCTTCTCAGACGAACCCTTCGACGAAAGCTTCAGTCTTTCACTTTCATTCTTCGAACAAGTCTCACTGTTTCGTCAATGTCCATTCTTCTCGTTGCTCTTCTCCGGTTCTCGATGAAGAAGAAAAGAAGCCGATGAATCCACTGAGGATCAGTACAGTGCCCGACAACGAAGACTCGAGGCCGCTGTTCGAACCGGGCCCGGATGATCTTAACCGGGTCTTAACCAGTTTGCTTAGAGATCCTGAAACTCGGGAACTTGCTTACAGCTACTACGAGAAAGCTAAGGAGAGTGAAGAATTCAGGCCAAGAACTGAGACGATGAAGCATCTGATCAGGTACTTGATGAATTCGAACAACTGGGACTCGGTTTTATCCCTCTGTGAGGATTTGAAGAAATATAATGTGTTCCCTGATGGTTATACTTGTTCGAAGCTGATCAGTAGTTGCGTCAGAGCCAAGAAATTTCGGATTGCGAGTCACTTGCTTAGTGTTTTCGAGGCAGATAAATCATTAGCTGTGTCGGCGTTCGATTCTGCTATGAAGGTTTACAATAAGCTTCAGATGTTTAGTAGCACGATCACGGTTTTTGAAAGGATGAGATCTGCTGGTATCGACCCGAGTTTCGGGTGTTATTGCAAAGTAATGGAAGCTAATAAAAGGATAGGCAATCCAGACAAGGTGTTAGAGCTGTTTCAAGAAGTTAGGAGTAAGAATATGAGTTTCTTGATGATGGAATCGGGTCATATGTACGTGATTTTATGTTCTTCATTGGCAAAATCGGGACGGGTTTCAGAAGCTCTGAAGCATTTCGAAGAGATGATGGAGAAAGGGATTCCCGCAAATCCCGCATTGTATTCTACGATGATTTGTGCCTTTGCCGCTGCCCGAGAAGTTGAAATTGTCGAAGAGCTCTTCGGGGAAGCTGCGGAGAAGAAAATGTTGACAGATCCCGAGATGTGTTTGAAGGTTGTGTTGATGTATATCCAAGAAAGAGAGATGGAAAAAACCCCAGACGTAGTATCCGAAATGAGAAAATCTAAGGTAAGGGTTACGGATTGCATCTTGTGTGCGATTGTGAATGGCTTCTCTAAACAAAAAGGGTTTGGATCGGCGATTAGGGTTTACGAAAACTTGATCGAGCATGAAGAATGTGAGCCAGGGCAAGTGACATACGCTTTGATCATAAACGCGTATTGTCGATTAGAGCTATACGATAAGGCCGAGAAGTCGTTTGAAGAAATGGAGCGAAAGGGTTTCGACAAATGCGTAGTGGCGTACTCAAACATGGTGGATATGTACGGGAAAACAAGACGATTGAGCGACGCGATGAAACTTGTGGCGAAGATGAAGCTAAAAGGGTGCAAACCCAACATATACGTTTACAATTCCTTGATCGATATGCACGCAAGAGCGAAAAACGTGAGACGGGTCGAAAAGATATGGAAGGAGATGAAGAGAATGAAGGTAGTGCCGGACAAGGTGACATACACAAGCATGATCAGTGCATATAATAAGACAAAGGAGTTCGAGAGATGTGTTGAGCTTTACCATGAGTTCAGGATGAACAGAGGAGAGATCGATCGGGCCATGGCGGGGATCATGGTGGGTGTGTTCTCGAAAATAAGTAGGTTCGATGAGTTGATGAGGCTCTTGCAGGACATGAAGGTTCAAGGAACAAGACTCGACGGAAGGCTCTATTCCTCGGCTTTGAATGCTCTGCGTGACGCCGGTCTGCAAGTCCAGATCAGATGGCTGCAAGAAAACTTCGAAGCAACAACACAAGCTAATGCTTCGAGATATTCAGCTGTGAAGAACATAAAGGATCATGGGTTTTGATTTCACGGGGAGCTGTCAGAAACCGAGATTCTTTTGTAATTAAATGTATTGTATACTCATAACAATATGTATTTTTGCAAAAAGTATGTTCATCAGCAGACCCTATTAAGAGGAAGAAGGTAACAGAATGAACGACCAGTGAACACGAACATGGACTTATGTAACATAGTAACAAGAAGACAAAGCAGTAACTCGAGATGATTTCAGAATGTATTATTGTCACTAGAAATCAGTATGATAGGTGAAATAATTGTTTCCCTGACAAGAATCACCAAGTTGAACCCAGAGTACTCGTGCATTACCTTTTTTGTGGTCATTCATCCGGCTTTCGCCTCAGACTTTGAACTTGCTTTAGCGTCTACTTTAGCGTGTGGAGTTTCTGCAACTTTTGAATCACCGGAACAACATCCACCGCCATGGTGATGGTGATGACCATGGTGATGGTTTTGCTTCCCCTTAAGCTGCTTACGCATATCATAGGCATCTTCCCCATCAGCATAATACTTTGCTTCTACATCGTGAATCTTGTACCCTAACGTCTCTGTGTACAGGTTGAATGCTGCTCTGTTACTTTTCCTCACGTGCAGTGATACATACTCTGCTTCATGAACCTGCCATGATACTCTGAAGAATAAGTCAAAACAGTCCGGGTTTGACAGGGAAACTATGAATGCTTACAAGTTGAGCTTGAGCAAGAAAACAAACGAATTACCCTAGCAATAGAATTATATATCATATGAACAACAAAATCCCAACTCTTAGACAACAGGAGAACAAGCTCGCATATCATCGAAATCAACAATCTCTGCATCCTGGGTTGGGTCTTAAAGCTACTGTAAAACAGAGATTATCCCACAAATTCGACCTCATTACGACTATTGGAGCAAACGCTCCCTGATGCTGCGTACTGTTAAATTCATGGTCTCCACCTTCCACTCAAAAACAAACTACACAAATTCCTTAAATCAAGCTCAAAGTATACACAATGTGTAAGAAAACGGAACGAGAAGATCTAAGAACCTGTTCCATGGCGGCTTGAGCAGCGGTCATCAGCTTGGTGGCGAGACCAAGCTTCCGATGGGTACGGAGCACGGCGAGAGAAGTGATATGGCCATGGCACTCGTTGCTCTCTTCCTCCATCTTCGCCAATACATAACCAACGATGCGGCCATTGTAGTCCTCAGCGACGTAAAGAAGCTGAGGCCATGAGAGGATATGGTACAGGTAATACTTCATCTGATAATTCTCCGGAAGACACATGAGGTTGCATGCCTGCATCGCCAGGAGATCGTCCACCGTCGCTCGCCGTATGCACACCATTATTTCTGGTCGTCGTCTTCGATGAGTTTTGGGATTAGGGTTTGGGGATCTTAGCTTTTGTCGACGCTAACGTTATTTAGTAGTACCGGGGTGAAAATGAAAATATGTAGAAATATAGGGGTTTGTTATCGAAATTCAATGGTAGCTTTGTGAGCCTTTTAGCCATATTTTGGGCCTTATTTGGTTGATTGAAGTTTAATTGGCCCACGTTGATTTCATCTTATATTCTCCTTATTGGGCTTTTTTTTACCTTGTAAATTTCCTTTCTTCACATTGTTTTTTTTTCCAAAACATTCTCACTTATTACCGATTAATATATACATGAGCAACGGCGTGAACGGATCTTCAGATTTTGAGATGGTAATAAATAAATATACAATATAATATTAATATCTAGTAATATATCGTTACTATGTAAGTGATGTAACATCGATTTTTTTTTTGGTGGAATGTAACATCGAATTTTGATGATTGAATTAGTTGATTTGTTCAAACCACCAATAGTCTCGTACTAATCGATTACAATTTTTAAAAAAATTATAGTTTATTTGTAAGTGTATATATTATTATAGCAAATTTAAAGTTTATGTGTTAATTTTCATTAAGTTAATTAATAGGTTGAGAGGTTTATATGGGTTTCTTCCAAAATAAAAACAAAAAATGTAGTGTTTCAACAGAAATAACGGTCAACAATGAGAATACTTGTCCATTTTGCGTTTTTCAACTTCAACCTAGAAGCTTACGGAATAATTAAATAATTGTGAAAAAAAAAGGCAGGCGCACACAGAACAAAGAGTAGTGAAGTGAATAAACACGTGTGGAAATGGCAACTGGATACAACAATTAAATAATTGAAATGCAGAAATATATATATATATATATATATATCGGAAGGCGTGTTCGACGTAAACACTCCAAAACCTTCTTCTTCTTCTTTTTTGAACGAACAAGTCACGTGTTTGACGTACGCGCCGTTGACCAATCAGAAAACCAAAATGACGGCAAGAAAAGACAGAGAAAGAGAGAAACCATGTTTTTTTTATTGAAGCTTTGCAAGTGGTTTTGTGTTTTGTGTACAGCTCACGCATCCATTACCAATGGCACAAACCCAACTCGTGTCTCTCTCCTATAAAACCCATCTTCTCTGTTCAGATTCGGACAATACCCATCAAACAAAATCAAAGCTTGTTCGAAGTTTTTTGCAGGTTTCTGTAACAAAGAAAACACAACAGAGCAAGAAAAAAAAAGGGTTACTCTAATGGTGCTTTTGGTTATGAATTTCCCTCACCACTACAAAGATCACGACGATGCAGAGTCTTTGTCGGCTTCTCTCGCTGCTTTTCGATCGAAAGTTTCAGACTTTCTGGTGGAGACGCTGTTGAAGACAAAGCCCAGATCGGGAGATTTGCCTTTCTCGTGGATCAAACAGTGTTTGGAGCTTGTGAATGTGACCGAGAAAGCGTTCGCGAAGCTGGTGATGGAGATAGAGCATCCGATGAGCAAATGGGGAGCGAATTCAGCTGAACGGTATCTGAATTACACATTGAATATGCTCGATCTTCTGAATCTGATCAATTCAATGATTTCTCATCTGGATCATGCAAAGCTTCAGCTCTCTCACGCTATGTACTTGTACAAGAACTCGATGGAATCTCTTAAACCGATTGAAGGAAGGATCCCTGATGTGAAATTCAGAAACAGAGGGACCAAACCCAGATCGGATTCGAGGAGATTCACGTCTGAGAAAGAGATTGTGATCCATGAGGCGTTGGTTGAGATGAGGAGTATCGGATTCTGGGTTTCTGGAGTGGTTATGTCTGCTCTGGCGATGAACTCGACACCTTACACGGAGACCGAGAAACTGGCGTCTGGGTTCTCGGGGACTTTGCTGAGAAGTCTGAATCTGAGTGCTTTCGAGGAGAGAATAGGGATTGAGGAGGTGAGGGATTTGAACGCGGAGATTGCAGACAGGAACAGGAAGCTGTCGGGAGACGAAGTTGCAGAGAGATTAAGGAGGAAACTGAAGGAGATGGAGAGAGGGACTGAAGAAATTGGGAAAGTTGTGGATGAGATATTTTCGAGGGTACTCGCCGGAAGAAATCACTTGCTCCGTACAATAAGAATCGCCTGAAAATTCCATGCAGCGTACATAATTATACTAAATATGAAAATTGGTGATTCTTTTTTATTTATTTTTTATTTTAGTCTCTGGGTGTACAGAAGAGTGTAATTTTGTGTATTATTATCACAATTAATTGTATACAATATACGAAAAAATTATTCTTCTTAAACTTCGTCCCTCAAACATACCAATTTTCGAAATTACAAAAAAAAAAAAGGTACTACCACTTTTATTTTTGGATAGGGAAAAAAAAAGCTCTGGAACAAAATTTTGACTTGGTCCAAGGGATTTGGGCGGATCATGAATGGGGCCATCACCATCTTTTAATTTATAAATTTTAAAATTAAATTATTATATGCCCTACAGTAAAATTAAATTTGTATGAAAGTGATGTTAAATTTATCCCCCATTATATATTTTTCTAACAGAATATCTCCAAACAACAATGCAAAAATACAAAATCAATTGAAACGATATGAAGGGAGAGTTTGACAAAGTACCAAATAAAGGGAACCTTCTCTTCTTCCCCCATAAAATTGCATGAAATAGACTGATTACTTCCTACCCAAGAAACCATATTCCTCTATTCAATTTGCTCTTTCATGTTGTAAAATTTTCATTCAAACTAGACTAATCCTCTGTATGCATGCTCTTGCTGTGTTTGTCAACACCGAGTCGCCGGACGAGCTCCCTTTCTCCGGCTCCTTCCTCTTCCGCCGCTCCTCTGCCTCTCCGGGCAACCTGCAAAAGACCGATATACAGCTTATATAAAATCCGCATCTCGATTAATGCCGAGGCTTGTATACATACCAAACGAGATGGATTTTATAACCAGTGTGTTGGAAGAGAGATGAGGAAAAAAGAAAGAGGGTCAAGAGCAGTAACCCTAGTTGCAGGGTGGTGTCTGAATCTGTCTTCTGCGCCATGCAATTAAAGCCACCAAAGTCTGCGTCTTTTACCGGGGGTTTCTTGATTTCAACAGGATAGCACTCGATGTAGGACGGGAAATAGCGAAGGTTGGCCGACGGGAGAAGGCCTCGGAGTTCTTCTACCTGTTTCGATCGAAAGACAGGAGTTAATTAAGTCAGTAGAAAGAAGAAATCATGTCTTGTTTGTTAACCTGTCTTCAAACCGTGATTGGAGGTATATTAGCTGCAAGAAGAGTTTTTAGGTGACCTGTCGACGCAAGGTCTCGTTTTCCAGCATTGCCCGTTGTTCCTGCAAAGAGCAATCACGTAAACGCATGCATGGCGACAAACTCCGCATGAGAAAATAAATACTGTTTCTGCAGTCGAATTCGGTTTTGTTGGCTTGTTGATTTGGAATGATAACTTCCATCCAAGTAACAAGGAACATAACCTCCGGCTAAGATGCCATAAACATTGCAGGACAAGACTTATTCGGGTTTGGAATGGATTAACACCGAGTTTTAATTATGAAGTTACATTTTTTTATAAACAAAAGAAAGATAAGAGGGTCGGGGTTCGTTCTTTGGCTATAAAACCGAAAGAAAAAAAATGTTTTACAGTTAAGAGCACTGGAGAAATCTAGCATTTTAGAGAAACTTATACCGGAAATTCATGGAAAAGATATGAACCGTAGCTTTGGAGAATCCAAGATTCAAATACGTTTTAGCCTTTAGATTCAAAACAAAGACAGTGAGGCATTGAAGGGTACCTTCAACCGCGACTCTTCGAGCTGTTCCAACAATAGTTGTTCCTGGAAGTCGCACAAAATTGTGTCGGGTTTCTGTAAAGAAGGTAGGAAAGAATTATCAGAGTGTATGTTACCTTCCTCTCTCTGACAGATAACAATGTCTCATTCAGTTGCTCTTCGAGGAGTTGTAGCTCTTTCAAACTCAAGCCATTCAAGCCCTTACCCAGCAGCTGTCTGCTGAATTCGGAAGGCAAACGGTGAGATATCGACAAAGAACAAAAACAAAAACAGCTGCAAAGGGGGGAATGAACAACTGAATGGGATCAGATCATGATCGTTTCGTACGACTGTTTCTCTCGAAGCTTTGAGATTTCTTCTTTCAGAAGTTCCACCTCTATACAGTTGTCCACCTTCCACAAAACAAATTGGATCGGAGAAATCTAAGAAGCTATCATGGTGTAAACACACAATATAGGAATGTAAGAAGATCTAAACAAACTCAAAACACAAATCACCTCTGCTTTACACTCAATCGGAGGAGGACCTGAAGATTTCTGGTACTTGTTGTATCTCGAAAGTGTTTTCTTCATACTGCAACGAATTGGAACCAAAAGTTCAAACACGAAATCCAGACATCTGAAAAACATTCGACTTCACAGGATGGATAAAAAGTCGCAAGGACAAGCAGAGGAGCACAAAGTTAAACACTTTTCATTGTTTGATTCAATCATCTACACGGAAACATCAGTACGAAATTCATACGGGTTCCGGGTAGTGGAATCTTCGATATGGGCAAATATTGGACAAGGAAAACGACTTCAAGAATATGAACGCATTGAACAACAAACAAGAATTCATTGAACCATGCAAGAAGATATAATCACACAGGTCCTGTGGACGCATTTTTGTCGGTGAGGACAGGACATGAGCCTGAAAATCTCTTGAGCTCATCATAGATTCAAAATAAACAAACATGCAAGAGTTAATTCCAACATAATCTCACTTAGAAGAACAGTTTTCAACAATCGAAGAACTACGGTCGGTTTTTTATTCGGGAGAAACAAAGACTCCAACTTTTTTAAAACCCAGATAGGAATTTCTGCATAAACAACAAAAAGCGTACCGGAAGAAGGTCCCACTGCAGTAAACAAATCGAATTTAAAAACCAAAAATCAAATAAAATCAGCACATGCAACTACAGAAAGAAAAAAAACAGATGCAAAGAACAGAAATAGAAATCGTGGCTCATGGACATTTTTTTTATTACCCAGAACTCGAGAACTCGAAGAGCTTGCCGGAATTCGAGAAGACGATGACAGCAACCTCGGCGTCGCAAAGAACAGCGAGTTCACGAGCCTTCTTCAGCAGCCCAGCACGTCTCTTGGAGAAAGTGACTTGCCTGTTATTCGCGTTCTCGATCCTCTTTATCTCGATTTTGCCCCGACCCATCTTCGATTTCCCCCAAATTCGAATGCCCAACTTCTCGAGAAATAAACCCAGAAATCGTAAGGATCTTTTTCCTTCAAATCTCTGGGTCCCTTCTCTTTCTTCACCTTCCCCTTGTTGGGGTTTTACCCTTTTTTGGACACTGGATACAAATGGTGGGGATCTATAATGGGAAGGAAGGCTATGTGGTCTGTAAATTTGGATTGGATATCTTTTATTTCGTTTTGTTTTCTATGAAAAAATTCAAAAAACGGAAAAAGGGAGGAAAAAAATAGAAGGAAACGGCAAAGTGGTGTGTGTCGTGTGTTGCATGGGCTCTGTTTTCTGTGCTTCTTTTTGCATTTGCATGAACCCCTTTTGCCCCATTTGGATGGTTTTCTCTCTCCCGTGGGTCCCACTTTCCTTTTTATTTCTCCTTCCGTAATTAACTTTTTTCTCCTTCCCTTCAATTCGAATTTCTCGAAATTACCTAAATTAGTAAATTCCTCTTTGTAGTATTTTTTTTTGGTTTTTGCCTACTCACACCACCCAAAATATCAAATTCATATTTTGATACAACTCTTCTAATTACATTTTGTTTGTGATTTAAGCATAGTGGAAAAAACCTTTATATTATGTAATGGTCGAATGTTTATTATTTTAATATTGATTTAATTTAGAGTAGGGGAAAATGATAGGTTTATGAAGTTTAACTTTTTACTAATGTAAGTTAAAAAAATTGATGAATTTAGTCATAAATTTACTAAGCAGTGATAGTTAGACTAGTTCTATGAAATGCCATCATGGTAGGGAAAATTTCAATGAAGCGGTATGGCCAATGACAATATATGGTGAATTCAATGGATTTTTAATATACCATGGAATTTGGTAATGATTTTTTCCGTTGTTGGTGCTCCAATGATCGTAACATATATTTATTTAAAATCTCAATCAAGAATTTGAATATATTTTCCATCTATTTGATCATAAATTTATATAAAACTCACTCCACGAGTCTTCACGCCTTGCATAATCGGAACATAATATTTGTTATATTTTCTTTTTAGAAATGCAAAATTTGATTCATAGGTCGAAGGCATATATAATCTAACCCAAAAAAAAAAATAAGCAAAATTCCGTTCTCTCTCTTGTCATGTAAATGTAAATAGCAAAATTTCGGTTCTATGGAAATGTATTATAACGGCCGTAGCTAACCGGAGTCGCCGTGCATCACTGTTCAAACTCCAAACGGCCCACGACCATTGATAGAATGGGCCGTATCGAAGGCCCAAATAAATCCTAAGCTCAGTGGATCGTGTGACACGCCGACCGATAACAATACTTTGATATGGTATCGAACTTGCAATTGCATCTTTTTTACGTGATATGTGGTTTTGCTCATTGGTAACGTAACCATGTAATCGATACTGAGATTTTGTAAAGAAAACATTTATATATATATATATATATTCACGAACAGCTTCGGCTCAGGAAGATTCGTACGTCACCTTTGCGGCCCAACAAAAAAATAATTATACTTGTGGTTCTTCGTCTTCCGTATGCTTTTAGGTATACATGACGTCTATGCTTGTTCCATGTTTTACGTATTGTTCGTTTCAGGGGAACCTTTTCATATATGAACATAGAAGTTTAATGACCTAACAACTAAGGTGCCATTCGTTAGGCCTCCAATTCCAAAATTACAATCCATGGTCGATGACTTTCACCGTAGTAAGAATCAATACAGTTTGCATGCATTGCGGTGATATATATATATATATATATATATATATATATATCGCTTTTATTATAATCGCGTTTTAGTTTCTAGAGGAATCTCGTTTCTTCGAGTTAGGGTATTGTTTGTTCTATTCATGCGAAACTGATCAGAGAGTCTATATATAGAATTTTTTTTCTTTCATTTTTTCACCGAACCTTCGATCTAATTATATCTTTCAATGTTCAAAAGTATATACCGTAATGAAATTATACAGTTTCTCTCCAACCGTTATTCGAACATGAGATATAGAACAATAATACCCGTTATCTTTCTCAGCTAACTACAAACCCCAACGGATTGGTTAAATTTTTTTCATCTGGAATTGGATTAAAAAAAAAAACAATCTGTTAGTGAGACGAATAACCTGCCGCTGCAAGAAATTGCGGAAAATTATATTCACATATCATAGGAAAAATAATTATGCACACCGACAATCACGGAAAAATGAATAATACACGTGTATACAAAAAACTTTTTTTTGTTGTTGTTGGGAATGTCTTGTCGGCACAATGATGTTCAAAGTTGAGTTGGAATTTTATTTCCCACTACACTACAGATTTTCTGATTTTCTATTCGCTTTAGTAAAAAGCTTATCGACACCATAATTACATTGGATTTTTTTTGTTTAAAAGATTAGGTAGATTTCTATTTTTTATTTTACTAACAGAATACAAACAAAAAGAAAATAAAAATAAAAAAGGGAGCAAAGTTCCAATCACGTAGAGACAATCACAAGAAATCCATAAAGTTTCATTTTTTCATGAATTTAATATGCATTTCGAAATCTCGACTTGGTAGATCTACATGGAGAGTTTCTTTAAGAAAGGACAAGAAGTAATTACATATACTTTAAAAATAATAAAATGTAAAGGTTTAAATATAATATTTAGTTTTATGATTGATTTTTAAAAAATATAACGGATAAATAAGATTATTGAAATTTATTTTATTGAGTGTTGTGATTTAGGAGATATAAAATGTATTTTACAATACAACCACACTCTGTTCTTATACAATATGCGTTTTTTTAGAATCTCATTGTTCATTCTAACAAATCAAGAAATTTCATTGTTTATTTTCCCAATCAAGATATTCCAAATTTTTATTTAAAAAAATTTACATCATTGTGGTAGAAGAAAGAATACGGATTTGGTCTCACGATGCCAAATGCGAGCAGACCATGACTTAAGTAGAGACACAATTTAGATTTTCTATCTTCTTTGTCCGAACCCAAGATTCTGTCTGCCTTCCCTTTAATTTTTGGGCTAAAATTTACTTTTCTTTTAGCAAATTTCTTCTTTATTTAATGGCTTTCTAATTTATTTTTTCTTGGTACAAAAGATTTATATATTTTTTTTATTTAAACCCAAAACTAAGAACACTTATCTGAATCTTGTTTTTTTACAATCTTCAAAATGTTACAATTTCATAAATTTGATTTAAGAAAAAAAAAAGAGTAGACGACAAAACAGTATAAACATAACTTTGACATTTCTCCGACATCTTCCGCGTAATCTGTATGATATTATTAATAAACATATATAAAAAGAACCCCCAAAATTATGCACTTTCGCTTTTTATTGATTTATTTATTTATCCCATGTTTTTTTTTATAATATTCATTTTTCTAAAAGAGGAATTCGTTCGTGGCTTTTATTGGAAGGAAGGAGCTTTTGCTTGGAAGTTCTTCATAATAACAGCAGTTAGCTTCATTAGACATTTCCTTCAACCTCAAGCTTCATACGCATCTTAATTTATTCTCAATCAATCGAGCAGATTTGCAGATTTTTTTTATTCTTCTTTTCGACTTGCGAATATGATGAGCAATTGAATGATTCAGATCAAGAAAATCTCAGAATTTACAAACGTTTTTCACACTGCTGAGAAATTTGGAAAGGAGGGCTTACTTGTGTAACTCCGAGCTTTGCTCCAATGGAGAAATGGACCGACTTCGACGATGATCAGACACTAAGACAGAACTCTTTCTCTGTGAAAAGTTCCGAACTTTCGCCGGCTGATTGATGTCTCCTTAACCTGGAAGGACCCTTGTTTCTGTTGTTATCGACCCGGGTCTGACTCTTTCCTCTTGTATGGCTGCTGCAATCTTCGTCCAAGATTCGAGACTCGGCTTCGGTTTCAGCCATTAGTTCCATCAAATTGCTCCTGATCCCGAGATCGGAATACACTTTCCGAGAATCTCTCATCATGTTTCTACTAAATTTACCATCGGTATCATCATCTTCTCGGCGATGATGAGCCCTCTCTTGTGATCTTCTGTACTCCACCGGCCTACCCATTGTCTCGACCATCATACATGGATTGTTGATGTTCCAAGAATGAAGGGGAACCAGTTTGCACAGCCCGGTTAACCAATCCACGATCTCCTTCATCGAGGGCCGTTTCTCCCTGCATGACCTCACACATTTCGCAGCGATCAAAGCCAGTTGTTTACTGACCACGGGATCTTTAGGGGGCACAGTCCTCGGATCATAGATCGATAGAATCTTGCCCTTCTTCACAAGAGGAATCGCCCAATCCACGATAGAAGGCGGGGAATGCCCGATATCAATGGCTTTTCTTCCGCTGATAATCTCTAACAACAGAATTCCAAAGCTAAATACGTCGGTTTTCGTACTCAGATTATCAGGGGTCACATAATTTGGATCAAGATATCCAATAGTTCCAGCAGGAGGAGTTGATCTAAGCCTATAATCATCTACACCACACCTAAGGGCCAACCCGAAATCCCCTAACCTCGCGTTGAAACTCCTATCAATCAACACATTCGCAGATTTGATGTCTCTATGGATGATGGGTGGTTTCTGAGAATGCAGAACCTCAACGGCCTTGGCCACTTGCAGAGCCATTCTGATTCTTCTTCCCCAATTCAAAGGCCTAGAGCTAGAGCTAGAATTCGCATGAAGAACATCATAGAGTGTGCCATTACACATGAACTCAACCACCAACAAACGGTCCTGCGAATCATCAGTAAACCCTAGGAGATTAACCAACCTGGGGCTGTGAATTTTGGACAGAATCTCGATCTCGTTGTTGACTTCTTGGCTCAGCTCCTGACCCCTGGACGGCTTCTTCACGGCGACCCTTCGGCCACGCACGACAGCTTTGTAGACGCTTCCATGGCTTCCTTTGCCGAGGAGCTTCTGGTCGGAGAAGCCATTAGTGGCGGGTTCAACTTCTCTTGTCTGCCACCGGAGTTCGCCGCAGATGGTTTTTTCCCTCCGACAGCTGCGGTGGCCCCGGTGACGACGGCGACGGCGGTCTCTGCCTTGCAAGAGAGGTATCCCATCGGAGAATTTTAACAGGTTTCCCGGCTGGGAGTTCAGGAAATCTACACAAAAAGCTGGGAAATTTCGGATTTGGGTGCGAGAATTTATGAATCAAGAGATTTCTTGAGATGAAATCATAGCGGGAGAGATTAACGAATCGGAGTTCCTTGCGGATTCTGTGGAGAGGGCCGTGTTATAATGTGGGTGGGTGTGATTGTGAATGGTTTGGTGTCAATAGGGTCACATGAGGTACGTTTCTTAGACTCGTATTAATAAATTCTGCTCACTTTGTTTGTTAGTATGGACTTTTTTTTATTCAGATTTGGAATTATTATTCTTTTATATCTAATCAAGCCAATAAATTAAGGAAATTATTTTTTATTTATTATAATGGAAATATTATAATGGAGTACAAATAAAGAGCTTGAAAAAGTTATTGATTGTTTTTTATAAATAAAACCATCCTCATTTTTCTAACCCCTTTTTTTATGTTCTCGAAGCGATATTCACGGGCTCTAGTTTGATCAAAATAGTAATTAAATATGTCTAAAATTTTAATTAACAAATTGCAACATTTTCCCCACTTGTGACAATTTAAGTTTACGACATCCTATGAAAAATGCAATGAGACTACAAAAACACATTGTAAGTGTTGAATATTTTCAATATTTATGTAAAAAAAAATCAGATTTTATTTTTAAAAAAATCATTATTTAGACAGGGAGAAATTGACAGGTTAATTAAATATTAAATCAAAATTAAGATTGACAGGAAAATCTGCAAAACTTTGTATTCCATGGACCCACTTAATTAGTCTTACGAGAATCCCTATGCCAAAATTAAATTATTGCTTTCATGTAATGTTAGTGGATAATCACGTAACCCTAATTTGGACACCATCATTATATTATTTACCCTTCTGGTCAAACTCCCAATTTAAAATTCATAATAGTATTGAACAGGGGTGTATGCGCACGATTCCATTTCAATTCGATTTATACATGTAGATATTTTTTTAATTTAATCTTATAATAAAATATTAACATCATATTTATTTTCAAAACAGTGATGTATCATTCAATTTATTATTATGGTATTACGTATATAAACATTTGTGTTTACTCCACCTAAATACTTTTTTGACAGCTTTTTTTTTGTTTAAAAAAACAAATACAATTTTATTTCATTGCTAATTTGAAATTTTGGTCTGCAGTGTAAGCGACGATGATCAATGCAAATAAATCATTTTAAAAGTCACTTGATATATAATATGCCTCTTTTTATGCATAATTTTATTAGATAGTATTTGCATTAGAGTTTGAAAACTTTGTCCGTACTACTTTGGTACACCCAAGTGCTGTTCAAAGTGACCCCCCGTAGTCCTACTACCAACAATATC